GGAATTCACAAGAAGGGTAGCTTGCCTCGTGGCCCCTATAACTGTAGGTGGGGATAATTTAGCCTCCCTCCAACAGCAGTGCAGTCCTTCTCAGTGTGGCAGGAGCTGACTGGGCTGGGAAGTCTTCCTGTGACGGTGATGTGTTCGGGCCCTACTACAAGTGCTGCACCTTGAGGGCCAGGATCTGCCCTCTTTCCCTCCTCTCCTTCTCCTTTCTAAATAACCTGGCAGTGAGGACTGGGGTCCCTGAACTTGAGGATTGTCTTCTGTAGTGACTTGGGGTTTCCCACAGCTGGGACTGGCAGGGATGGGGCTGCCCAGTGCCCCTGGGCCAGACTTCCAGGTCCATTTGTGTCTAGCCAGTCATGGCATGGCTCTGCAAGCCCAAAGGATGGAGAAAGCTCATTTGCTGCGGTGGCCCCTCCCCTCCCCTGGGCTCCTGTGCAGGGCAGACAGAGTGCAGCCCTGCTTGGGGGGCTCTGTGCAGCAGGAAAAGCACGAGCCTCTGGATCCAGACAGTCCAAGTTGGAATGGGGCATTGCCCTAATCACTAGCTGCATGACTTTGAGCAAATCATTTCACTTTGCTGAGCCTCCTGTTCCCAACAGGGCCTTTCTAAAGACTAAATAATGATAGGGGGTGCCTGACCCATGACATGGCTGAGGACACCGCTGCTCACCTGCTGCAGGGAAAGGGGTGAGAGAGAAGAATGCGGAGGAAACGGAAAGTCAGAGGGAGATAGGGTTTACCTGCTGACTTTTCTCTGCTGCCCCAGCCTCCCCTCCCCTGGGGCAGCCATACCCAGAGTGCCAGTGTCCTCTGTGGAACCGACACAAATGCAAAGATCCACCCAGCTGCTGTGAAATGACAGTGAGGGGCTAGTAGACACCAGCACTCCCGAGTCTAGCTCCTGCCCTCCTGTGCCTCCCCCACAAATGGAACTGCAGACAAAGAAGTTCGAAAGAGGCTTCACCCACTCAGCGCTATTGTGTCTTCTGGCCAAGCCATAAAACAAGAGAGCAGGAGTGACAGAGACACTCCCTTTGAACTTGAAATCTTTTCTAAACTGCCACTCCAGCCCCAGAGTCCCTCCTCAGGAGGTCAAAAAAAGCTCACTCGATCCTCACCTTATCCCAGATGCTTAAAACAATATTATGGGAATGTAGGTCAGTGAACCGAGCCACACCACACACCAGCAGGATTCCAGGGGCTAACCAGCCTGCACACTGGCCCACTAGGTCAGATGAGAACATAAACAAGGAACGCTGGGAGCCCTCAGCTTCCCCTGGCCCTAGTCCTTTGTTTATGTAGCACTTAAACTAACTTTGGGGTCGTCTCTGTCTGGCATGAAAGCCCTGAAGCTTTTTGAAGTTCCCCTGAAGTTAATAAAATTAGTCTGCCCTCATTGCAAGGCCCTGGCTTGGGGAAAGATGGATCCTCTGCTGTCTCTGTGGCATTTAGCTTTTTAAAGTTAATATTTTATAGCCAAAAGAAAGGAGGGGGCAAGGGAGAAGATGCAGTAAATGTCCTCTGGAAGGCTAATAGGTAGCATGCCTGCCATCCCAGGCTCTGATTACCCTGGAGCCAGGCCTCCAGGCCCACTGGGAGGCTGAGCGATGGGCCTGCTGTGTTTAGCATGAGGGAACCAGCACTGGGGACGTGGACTGCCCTGTCAGTGTGTTCTCCCATGTAGACAGGAGGAAACTAGCCTGGGCTGGGCTATTGGCTCACTCTCAGATGAATCGTGTCCTTGGGACACATCTGCTTGAGTAATATATTTCTACCTCCAGCATCTCCTTGGCTCCATGTGTGGAACTAGTGCAGTTGGCCTCCGCATACTCAGTGAGCGCTCATTCACCAGGCCTGTGGTGGGTCAGGGCCACGTGAGTTACACAGAACCCTTTCCTCGCAAAACGCACAGTCTGGGGAGGGAAACAGACAAGTCAGCTGTCAGGGATAAGACAGAGTAGAGTGGCCAGCCTCTCAGAACAGAGGAGTCTTGGCTCAATCCTGGGGGCCAAGGGGAGAGGAGGTGCCTGCAGTGTCGGGGAAGCTGTCTGAAGGAGGAAATGCCCAAGGTGGGCCTTGGGTGGGGGTAGAGTCCCTGGTGGACAAGCTGGGATGAGCATTACAGGAGGACCACACAGATGGGGGGGGATGCATAACAGGGCCATGAGGACCCTGGGGGTGATAGATATGTTCATTAGCTTGATCATGGTGATGGTTTCACAGGCCTGTGTGTATGTATATATATATATATATATATATATATATATATATATATATATACACACACACACACACACATATCTAGACTTATCCAGTTATTTACTTTAAATATGTGCATGTTATTGTATATCAGTTATAGCTGAATAAAGCTGTTTTTAAAAAAAAAAAGGCTCCAGGCATGAGTGAGCCTTGGAAATGTACCAACAACTATAGCCATGTATTCACGCAACATTTGCTCACACATTCGAGGAATAGCTAGTAAGCGCCTATTTTATGTGCAGAGAATGTAGCTATGGAGGAGAGGGACATGTTTCTGCCTGGAGCCTGTGTCCTGGTTGGAAGCAATAAACAAGTAAACAGATAAGGTCATTGGCATAATGTCAGGTGGCGATCTGTGCTCTGAAGAGAGACAGGGCAGGATGAAGATTGGAGAGGAGTCGGGGCTGGAGTACAGGAAGAGAGAGCCATGGGCCGCAGGGGGCGCTATAGGCACCAGGCCTTGATTTGAGCCTGTCCTGGGCTGGGCCCTACTGGGCATCAGGAGCTGCACAGAGACAGGGAGCTCATAGGATCTGTCACTGAGTAGTGCAAAGGCTGTAGGCTGTGGGGTGGAGGGAGAATGCTGTTATCTTCCTCTAGCCCATGTGATTGTTCACAGCTACATGCCGTTTCATGGTAGGCTCTTGTAGGAATAAAAGAATATTAATATCAACTTGTTGAGAACTTACTGCTCTGCTAAGGACACCTGCTTGTATTATCCCTTTGGTCCTGGTGGGGCCTCTTACAAGGTGTTTCTGTGAGTAAGTTGCAAGCTCTTAGTAAACTCTGTGCCTTTTTCAGTTTTTGGCCACTGCAATGCTGGAGGGCAGGTCTTATATCTCAGTCAGATGTATCCCCAGGGCCTAGCTGTGCAGAGGCCTGAGTAGTAGCTCTCTCTGAGGTGATCATGATGCATGAGAACTGATGAAATCTGCCTGGGTGGGACGAGGGCTTGCAAATGTCACCCTTGCTGGACCAGAAGCCATCAAAGGAAAATGTTCTGTCCTTGGAGAAGATGTCAGGAGAGGATAGGAGGTCCGCCTGGTGTGTGGGTAGAAGAAAGGCACTTCTTGATTTGTTTTCATATTTTTTAATTCTGTTAATTTATTTGTAAGTAGGTGATGCATTCATGTATTTCAGTAGCCAAAGGTGAAAAGGTGTTATGGTGAGAACTCCTCAGGCACCCTGCTCCCTTTCCTGGAGGCATCACTTTCTCCTGATTGCTTCTGTGTATCCGGCCCTGCCTTGCCCCCTTCCATACACAGCCTGCGGCATGCCCTATGCCTCACACTCTGCTTTTTAACATGAAACACAATACCCTAGGAGTTTCTGTATCTGTCCATACACGCTGCCACTCTCCTCTGTGGTGACATCGTCATCTCTGGAGGCTATGCTCCACTTGTTGAACTCAGGCTGGACTTCTAAGTCATTGTCAGCTTTTGCTACTATAAACACTGCTGCCCTGAGTGACCTTGGGCAGCTTCCCATCCCCTCCTGACATCTTCTCCAGCAAGCACATCAGTGGGATGCATTCCTAGATGTGAAATTGATGGTCCAGATGGTATGTGCATTGGTCATTTCCATAGCAGCAGCCAGACTGCACTTCTTATCATGGGACGAAAGTTTGCTATTGGAGGCAGGATCTACAGAGCAGGGGTGGTGAGGAGCTGGGTGGGGCAGGCAAGGCTACCTGGCCATGCTGCCATCCCACAGGCAGTACCTGGGCTGGTGCTGCCAGAGGCTCAGAGGGAGGGAGTGACCCTTCCAGTCCCTGATCAAGCCTCTGGGGAGAAGATTCAGGATGAACATAGCTCATAGTAAAATCAGGGCTCCACTGAGCTGACTTTTTCAAGGACATGTGTGTCCCTTCTCTCAGCCTGGGCACCCACAAAAGGACAGCAGTGGCCAAGGTGGCCAGCAGGAGATACAAGCTCTGCAGTAAAGGCCTGGCCATGGCCAGCAGGGCCAGAGGAAACTAGCAATTCTGCCTGGACTAGGGAGGGCATTGTCAAGGAAGGGAGCTAGGGCTATGGAGGAAAAGTGGGCCAGGCCAAGACGGGCTTCCAGGCACTGCTAGGGTAAGCAGGAGTAAAGCCTCGGGCTGAAGTGCATAAGGGTGTGTGCAGTAGGTGGGAGACAAAGGCCAGGCTCTCAGGGGCTCCTGTGGGAGGGGAAATTGGAGTAAGGAGGTCTGTTCTAGAAGGCCTTGGGTGCAGGCTCAAGAGTGGCCTGGGTGTCTGTGACAGCTTCAAGAAGAGTACTGTTGGCTGTCTAGGCAGGTGCCCTGGGGACAGGCTAGGCCATGTGGCAGCCCCACGGGGGGTGGGGGAGGACACCACAACAGGGGCTTGAATTCAAAGCTACTTCTACCCCTGTGCTCTGTGACCTTGGAGAGATGACAGAACTGTGCTGTGCCTCCATTTCCTCATTTGTCAAGTGACACCACAGAGCTGCTGTGGGGACTGAGATGCTATCTGTGGAAAGTGCTCACAGTGTGCCTGTTTTGAGGGGCCCGTTGTTAATGTGGCAGTTGCCAGTTTCAGGTTTCTGCCCTGCTTCCAAATATTTCATTACCTGTTAGGTGGGCTCATCGCCCTACTACCCACAGGGTTCCTAGAGGGGCAGTAGCCAGCCATACCTAGGGCCTGGGAGAGCTGGGGCTAGGCACGGTCACAGCTCTTTCAGTGTGCACCACTAATACCCTTTCTCTCTGGCTGGGTGTGTGGGGACAGGCAATGGATGACTACAGTGTGATCGGCCGCTCCCTGTTCAAAAAGGAGACCAACATCCAGCTTTTTGTGGGGCTCAAGGTGCACCTGTCCACTGGGGAACTGGGCATCATCGACAGTGCCTTCGGCCAGAGCGGCAAGTTCAAGATCCACATCCCAGGTAAGTGCAGCCACTTCCTCCTGATTTAGGGACACTGTGCAGGGCACAGAGAAATGGCAGAGGTAGTGCTGAGACAGCGCTCCTTGGCTCAGGTTCCTAATGCTGCCTTTGCCGAGACACAGGGTGACTTGGCCTTCATGGTGGCGTGGCCTCTGGCTGGGAAGCCAGTATGGGTTCTGAGAAGAGCCTGGACGTGCAGTGAAGGTCTGGTCTGAGCAGGATTAAGATTGGCATCTGAGTTCCCACTACATCATTTACCATCTGAGGGGGCCTTAGGCCTGCCCCTTTGTTTCTCTGTGGAGGTGGGAGTAAGATTGAGCTTACAAGCAGTTTGGAGGAGAGCAGGTGAGAGAGACCAGTGGGGGCCTGGCATACCATCCTGGCACTAGTAGGGTTTCCAGGGATGTGAGTTGCCACCCCTCCTTTGCCCAGGACAGACCTTCAGGCTCAGCACCTCACACTGGGTTTGTGCTGGGGCCTGTCCACGGGCTGGGTCCAAGAGTGTGTTTGCTGCTGGAAAGAGAGCCCTTGGATTTTGTCAGTGAACTCATCCTTATTTTTTCAGCCTACACTGCATCGTGTTCTTCTGCATCACAGGCATTGTGCTTGTTGCTGCGAATATGGAGCTTACAGTTGTAGGAGGGGCAAACAATAAACATACTAAAGAAATCCCTGTCAGATGGCAATAGGCGCCAGGTAGAAAGATAAAGCAGGGACGGGATGGAATTGCCGAGCATGCTGCTTTGGATAGGGTGATCAGGGAAGGATGGAGGGAGAGAGGGAGCCACATGGGTTGTCAGAACAAGCGTGCCACAGCAAGGGGGAAGTGAATGCAAAGGCCCTGGGGTGACAATGAGCTCCAGGTGCATTGGCAGCCAGTTGTTTGGCAGAAGTGTGCTGAGCAGAGAGATGTGCAGGACATGAGCCAGGGCTCATACCGTGCACCAGGGGCTGTGAGGACTGAAGGCTGTGTTCATATGAATGGGCCATGAGCCACTACCTTTATTTTAGCAACAGGGTCTCACTCTGTCACTGGAAGAGAATACTGTGATGCAATCAAAGCTCACTAAAGCCTTGACCTCCCAGGCTCAAACCATCCTCCTGCTTCAACCTCCTAAGTAGCTGGGACTCAGTTGTGTGCCACCTCCGCCAGCTCCCTTTTATCCCCTGCACAATTGTACCAGATACAACTGATTCAGTACAATTCTGTTGTATTTCATAATAAAATAAAAATTGCGAACATTTTCAAACATACGGCAAAGTTGAAGAATTTTACAGAAAACACCTTTGCCTACACCTGATTTCATATTGACATGTTACTGTCCTCTGCGTAATTCCAGGACTCAAGGGTGATCCTGCAAGGATGGAAAGCCATGGGGAGGTTTAGATCAGGGAAACAACCAAGGTCAGTTTATGGCTTCTTGTGTCAAATTTCCTCGGGAGAAGGTGGTGCCCTGGCTCCAGCTGGAAAACAGAGACCCCAGCTGCCTCGGTGCTCACAGGTGGCATGAGTACCCTTCCCTCTCCTGTCAGGGAACCCTGTCCTTCCCAAATCCTTCCACTGCCCAGAGATGGCACCTGCCTTCTCAGGTCACAGAGGCTGTGCTTCTCCCGGGCACTTTGCTCCCTGTTTGCAGCTCCTAAGGACTCTGTCAAGTTGGGGCTAGGGCCGGGGAGGCGAGGTACCGAGCCATGGGAGGCCTCCAGCAGTGAAGCTCTAAAATTCTGAAATTCTGTCCTGTCCTCCCTCCTGCTCCTCAGTGGCTCTGAGTCATCACCTCAGCCAAACAGGAGTCTTTGTGCATCCCCGTTTGGCTGTGGGTTGTCCTCAGAGACTAGAGCCCACAGGGCTACTCTCTGGGCTCCAGGGAGCATGCAGGGAACATGAGCCAGGCAGGCCAGCATCCAGACCTCAGTCCCCAAGGGCCTCGTGCCTACACCTATCCAGGCTAGTGTGAGCTTTCTGGGAGGGAAGGACCCTTCAGCTGGGTCGGGGGCCATACTGCAGAGTACTCATCCTTCTTCTAAACAGCTCTGGGGCCCTGCTGGGCCAGGCAGAGGGAAGAGCTCATGATTTCCTCCTTTGGGGACTGCCAGGATCATGCTGACCTCCCCTGAGCTCCCTTCCTATAGCCCAAGGCAAACTCAGAGCTGGGGTGTTCCCAGGGCAGGCAAGAAGCAAGAGGAGTCTTATTCAGGGCCCCTCTCGGGGTGCTGAGGTGGGAGTGGAGGGAGGAGGGGTGTAGGGACACTGCCTCAGTCCACTGGAGTTCACATTCCTTTGTCAGGTCATTGTTGACTTTTTAGTCTGCCTGCTTCCTGTTTGTGGCTTTTAAGCTTTTTATTAAATATTACTGGTCAGATTCCTCCATCCCACCCACCACCTTCCATCCCTCCCACACCCACTCCCTGCTGATTCCTCCCTTTTAACCTTTTTGAAGTGCCCTAATTGTGAAAGAATTAGGCAGCCTGAGCCATCCAGTGCCAGGTGAAGGGAGAGAGAGAGTTCATTGCTAGCTGCAGCCTGGATATGCAGGGTGGGGAAGTCTGGGTTTTGGTGCCTTGTGAGGTAAGGCTCCCAGCCTGCAGCTCTGACAGGGCTGGCTGGGTTCAGATGCACCTCATGGGCCTTACTGCCAGCTCTACAGGGCATCTGGGCTTGGAAAGGCAGAATGAAGAGTCCCCTGGTTTTCCTCCTGTGAGGCTTCACCTCAGGTTGCAAGGTCAGATGCCAGCAGGGCCAAGCAGGTGTTGAAGAGGCCAGGTGGCAGGTGATGGGGAGTGGTGGGGATGTGGTGACCTGGAGACTGCTGTGTGGGTCCTGCCAACTCTCACTATATGGGAATGTAGGCCTGGGGGTCTCATTTTTTATCGTTTTGTTTTTACATAATATCTCCTGATTAAAAACTACAACTGTCTGTACTAAACAAAGCATGACTTTGGGCTGGTTTGACCCTTAGCAACTCATAACTCCTGTTTGAATTTTAGAAAGGACACTTGGACCTCAGGTTCATGAGGTGAAGCCGAACCGTAATATGCAAACAGTATATTTTAAGGAGCCACAGACTCTTGCCTCAGAGACAAGGGTCCTGATGCTAGGGCCGTTGACTCCTCAGAATGTACTATTGGAAATCAGAGGGCTGTGGGATGGCCCCATCATTCCTGACCCAAGGAGCCTTCCCAGAGAGTCTTGGGGGATCTCAAGGTTGGAAGGCCCCATATTTACAAACATCTCCCCTCAAAGACCTTGCCATTTGTAGAATTGTACTTCCTGAGAGGATAGGAAGTCCAGCAAGCTGCCAGTAGGAACCTGCTGGGGAGTTCTGCTGGTAGAGAGTAGTTGGAGGAAGGCACTGGACATGGAAGAGGTGGAGGTTTCTGTCTGTGTTGTAGCATCGCTTATACTTCCTGAGGGTTGTAGGGTGGAATGGGTCTTGTTATCTTCATCTCACAGGTGGGAGCCAGGGAGCAGAGAGACTGAGGGCTTTGCCCACGATTTGTCTGTGTTGCCCCGCCTCTCTCTATCAGCCCTGTTCATGCCCCTAAAGAGCAGTCATGTCTTCCAAGAGTTTGGAGCTGGGAGGTCCATGTGGTGCTTGGAGAAACACTGTGCCTGGGAGGCTGCGCTCCCAAGGCACATCTTGGCAAGCCATCTGTCCCACCGCTGCCACCCTCCCCTCTGCATCAGTGTGCCAGCATCTGCACTCACTCACAGAGGCAGGCTGGATGGTGGGTGGGACAACAGCTTCTGCAGCCCCTCCTGTTCCCACTTAGCAAGGAGAAAAGAACACCTTGATGACTCTCAACTAGAGAAGAATCAGAAGCTGAACAGACTTGTTCCTAATGACAGCTCTGAGTCACTGTGCATTTACTCCAGGACAGAAAAGGGCACACATGTGCCCATGATCTTATCTCCTGAAACAATGCTGTGTAAATCTAAAATCACCCAGGGCCATTGTTTTGTGCACCTGCCATGATGTGGCAAGCTTTTTGAATGGTCCAAATTCATGGTAGGTGGTCCCTCTCCCACAGGGTGCTCCTGAACCAGCTGATTTGGAGCAGTTCATGTGTGTGTCTGCTTTAGCACTGGCGGGCATTCGGAGCTTAAAGCCTTGTTACTGGAAAGCCCCAGACCCCTATTACCACTCGTGTACGCATGTGTCACTGATCCTCACCAGGCAACCACTGACCATGAACAGAGCTGCAAGGCTTACCTCATACCAGCCAGAGAGCCGTGATTGAGAACATAGCCTGCTGAAGGCCACAGCCATGGCCTCATCCTAGCAGCGGGTGCTGCCCACGTGCCAGGAGCTCAAAACTGAGCTCACATCTCAGGAACTTGGTCTTGTGGGTAGCCAGAATTCTCATTCAAACCCTAAAATAGAGATCTACTTTTGGTGATCTTTAATAACTTTTTGATTATTATTAATCACAACTTAATGGACACCAAATGAGAAAAGAAAAAATTTGTAGAACTGTACTTATGGTTAAGACCCCAGAAGGAGCTTCTATTTATTGATCATCAGGGGGTGAGCCAGCACTCAGGAGAAGGAGAAACAGCTCCAAAAATGTGGGCTATATGTATACAGGGCAGTCGGTCTCCCCACTCTACAGCTGAGTAGACCGGGGCTGGCAGGATGGGCAGTGCAGTTGCTGGTGTTCCCGTTGCAACAAGCACCTCATTTCACTGCACAAGCAGACCCTTTCAGACCACTCTGCTGTGTGCCAGGGCAAGGATAGTCTGTGCCCAGGAAGGCATGGAGCCACAGAGGCAGATTCAGTGCAAGAAGCCAGAGCAAAGCAGACACTTGGGCAAAGGTAGCAAACGCCCACACTGAGATTGGAACCCAGAGCACCTCACTCTGAACCACTCTGCTCGAGACTCCCCACACCATGGTGCCTTATAGGCAGGGCTGGGGGTGAGGCACTGAAGTGCAACTCCCTTCCTCAGGGTATACAGGAGAAGGGAAGGGAGGGATTGGTCATTCAGCTCAGTGGGC